CTTAGCTATTGTTTCTTAAAATTGCCTTTGATTCACATTTAATAAGTCATTAGTTTACATATAGATACACCCAAACTGTGTATTATGACAGTCAAGATGGGGGCTTTTCATTATAATCATCTGTTTCCTTTAGTCCGCTGTGCCTACCCATAATATTGCTCAGAATTTCTTTTGCTTTGTATTGTTTTGTTGTAATTTATTTTAGCAATTTTAGAAAAACAAAGTAGACTTTTCAAGCTTAATTAATTTAACAAGGTTATTCTCCCTGTAAGTCATCCAAAATTGTCATATTAATACCCTAACTTCATCCCAGGAAGTATATTTTACTTAACTATAAATAAAGTATGAATTGACTAATCTAAGATGAATATATGAAAGAAAATAAACTCATAATCTGTCTTATCTATACACTAAGAAAAGTATCTCTGTCAAATGCTGTGTATAATATTTGATCTGCATGCTTCACACTGCTACTAACACTGTATAAAAAGGCTGTGCCTACTAGACGGTCTATAGTCTGTCGTCAGTGTATACTCCAGTATTGGTCTCTGTATCCCCTGCATTGGGTTTACTTCCTAGCTCAGAGATATTTCTTAATAACAACTTAAAAAACAGAATCAAAATCCAGTATTACTACATATTTTTGAGGTAATGATATACTGTTGTACATAATTGTAGGCTAGATTAGAGCAAAAAGCTATAACAAGTTTCCTTTCATCTGTAAATCAATTTCTATAAAGTAAGCAAAATTCAAATGTCCTATTTTCTAAATTCAGAAAATTTGCTTTTGGATATGTCTATTTAAAAGTACTGACTAATTAGAAACAGCAAATTCCAGTGTTTGGGTCCTGGACAGTCCTAGATTTTGAGGCTGGTTCTAGTTGCTAATACCATATAAATTTAAAGGACCTGCCCTTCCCTTGTTCTCAGTGACCTCAGCTATTTTCAGCCTATTGTCAATAACAACAATAAAATGAAAAGCAGAGAGGTAGTTCCCTCGTGCCTAAACCTGATCAAAATAATCTTCTGGCATTATTATCAGTTTTAATCATCACATCCACTCTCTGGCCTAGCTGAGATAGAGATGTTAATCAACTTGTTTAGAACTACATATCCAGTGAGCTTCAGCTCTAACTCCTGTCTGATTCGACACTCTTAAACTAAAGAACTCTGTGGACTCCCTATGTTTGAAGCAGTCACCATTTGGACTCCTCAGACATGTATCAGAGACAAGTTAACATTAATATATGGAAAAATAAATAAATAATAACAAATGGTGGCAATCATCTCTTATTAAATATGTGCTAAGTACTTTGGATATAGAATCTCAATTAATTCATCGACATAACCCATGAAGATGGTACAACTAGCATTTCCATGATCATTCCTATAAGGAAGGGGGGCGTGAAGCTGTGAGGTTAGCCAGTTGAACAAAGATTGCTCATCCAGTAAATTGCCCAGCTGAGGTACTATTATTTAACTTCAAATGTTATGATGTAACCACTACACCACACTACCTTTCAATCACACAGGCTGAAGGAGCTAAGTTTGAACATTTGACACTTCTATGCTGATATATTTTATTTTTATATCTCTGATTTTCTAGTAAAACATCTTTCTTATATCATAAATTGTGCAAAATGAAGTCATGAAATGGATGCAACCACTAAGAATGGGAAGGTGCTTTCAAGCAGCAATAAATTAACCTAGGATCTTCCTATCGTCTTCATAGCCTACACAGTCCACATCCCATAAAAAGTTCATATTTTGTCAAGAAAGAGAATCTCCCTCTTGTTCTGTTGTGGATGTGGTAATTGGTCAGACTGGGATGTAGCATGACCAAAGATAACGTTTGACTTGTCAAACAGCAACTTTGTTTCAGGCTCCACCATTAACGAGCAATGAAAACTTGAACAGATCATTTTTCCTTAGGTGCCTTATCTGTAAAATGAGAGCAATGAGTGATTGCTTTTGGGGGGTGACTTTAGGATCAAATGAATAAATATATGCAAATAACTTAAAACCTGACATTACATGATAAGTATCTCATAGCTGAGACATGTTGTTGTCTCCTTGGAGTAATGACAAAGTAAAGGGACTCTCAGTAACTGCCAAATGACATATCATTCAGTATTGCAACCTAAATTCTTTAGCTTCATGAATTACAGTATTTTATTGTTTGATGATAGCCAGTTGTAACATCATAGTAAAAATATTTTAAGTATAAAAAAATATGGAGATGTGTGCTTAAATATTAAGTCAACACACAGAACTATTTGTTACACTGACATTTGTAGAAAAGGAGGGGAGGCAATATATCAATGTTTGTGATAAATGTACCAAATATTTGCTTCTGTTTGTATAAAGACCTCTGGTAACTATTAACTAAAATGTATTTGAAACAATTGTGTCTATGTGGAGACCAGGAACAGCAAACCAGAGATAGGTCAGAAGATGACTTTCCTTTGTACATTTTGTTTCATCAATATTTAAACTCAAGTCTTTCCTTTGTTAACCAACTTTATTTATATTCATAAGCATCATTAGGTCTTTTTAATTTGCATTTTATCCATTTAAGAGGGACCCTTGGGAAAATATTATTAAGAGAAGACTAAAAAAAATCTGACAATATTAAAAGGCAATTGCCAAAAAACATGCTTCATATTTTTTTCAAAAGTTGGCAAGCTCACTTAAATTGAGGATACTAGTCCATCCTTCTACGGCCCACCCTCTGTGGCTGAACTAATACCATAACTGCATGGCATTATAGTTTACTGTATGAGTGATGGAGATGCTTAGCTACTAAATTGTGACCATTCAAGTCTTCTGGAAAGTTCACCTGAGAGAAGAAATGTGTAAACCATCTGCTCTGGCTGAAATCACTTTGCTAGCTGCTCGCCAAACATAAATGCAAAGACTGAATGAAAGAGTAACACAGCCAAGAAAAACACAATGTGTAATAATACCCAAAGCTTTATTGCTACTAAAAAAAAGGAGACAAAACAGTCATTTCTTTTAAACAATTACTTCCTTTTACCTGAAAATGTTCTCAGAAGAATGGACATTATTTAAAGAATGAATTTTTTCCAAGCATAGTACAATACTAAATTTGTATTCAATTATAAAATCTCTCTCTCTCTCTTCATAATTTTACAGTCTTTGTTCATATGTACTACACTCTTCAAAGGCATAAACAATAATTAAACTCTGGTGCACCTTAAAGGGAAAAAAATCTAAAGCCATTAAGTTGCATAGCTATTCAAATTATTGCTCTTTTTTACAAAACCATCACAAGCCATCAAGAACTGGTTTTCTTCTTTCCTCTCACTCCAAACTTATAGACTACTTTCCCAAGGAAGCTTTAAGGAGTTGCAGATGTATCTATGGGACCCAAACTCTTGTATAAAAGGAAGGGATAAATAAGTTAAATAAATAGTATCTAATAAATAATGCAGATAGCAATTATCTACCAACATAAATGCTAGGCAAGTAACACTAAATTCTCAAAATAAAATGAGGATGACTCTATAAATATTTCTCTTTGCCTATTTGCACTAGGGCAATTCAAGGTGTGTTGGGGAGGGAGTACTGTGGTGGTGTAGTTTAAGATCTCTACAAAATTTTAAAAATATTTATAAGCCAAGGGTGCAAAGTAGAGTAGAGTAAGTGCTGCGATAAGATGGACACAAAACAACTTATAGTGTGAAAACATAAAATAAAGCAATACAGAAAAAAAACCAAATAGTTCAATAGATAAAATGGCACATTCGTCTGTCAATAATATTGTTCAAATTTATTCCTATAGTTGTACCCTGACTCACTATCAAATAATCTATTTATATTCTTGAGTGGGGCCTAAATAATTGTTCTGGAAGATGGATCAGGATAGTAAAATTTCTCAGAGTGAATTTTCCTAGAAAAGAGAAACTTGGCAGAGCCAGTGTGGATACAAAGAAAAGAGATGTCACATAAAGAAAAATAAACTTTCTTTAGACTGATCAAAACCTGTGTTGAAGATACAAACTGGTAAAAGCATTCACTCTCCCTGAATCTTGATTCTCAATTCTAAGTCACTTCTCTTGAAATGTTTGCTATAATATGTAGTAACACTATATCTTGGGAATGAGGACAAGGTAATAGTCAGTGGGAGGTGTAAAGTGAGGAGTTACATTTATGTTGTGAGAACTCAAGCTTGATTAGTGATTGTGGTTCTGGAATATATGATACTGGAGTGTACGGAGCTCTATGGTTTTAATCACTTTTCTTTAAGTAGTGAAATTCATCATGTTTGAGAAAAATCCATGTTTTTCCAATGGCTGGGTGTTAGGCAGAGTCCCTCAACTTTTGCTAGCTGGTACGGCAGCCAACTGCCACTTTATTACTCTACAATGTGAACTTGGCTGTGTTCTGATTCCAACAGAAACACCTGGACACTGGCAGAATTCCCACAGTCCTTTAGTCATTGAAACTAAGAAATGAACTAGCTGATGTTTCTGTGTCCCATTGACCACAGAAGTCAGAGATTTCTTGCTCAACTCCTAGTACTAAGACAGTTGTTTTTTAAATAGTATCAAGAGTAAAGTTTGTAGAAACAGAAGAGGAGGAGTAGATGAGGGGAGCAGAAGTGGATGGGGAGGAACTGGGAGGAGTAGAGAGAGGAGAAACTTCAGTTGAGATGAAAAATAAAATAAAAGCTAAATTCAAAATAAAAGGAGAAGAAGAAGAGAAAAGAATAAAGTTTTTGTGAGGCTTCTATCATGGTTCTGAAACCACTAAAAATGATGTGCATACCTTTCAGCACAGCGATAAATAGAGCTAATCTCTTAAAGAACATACTTGGCTATTTACAGTAGTCAAGTTGTAACAGTAAGTTCTGGAAGTTATGTTTAGATAGATATAAAGATCTGTCAAATTCACACAAATTTTGTTTTCTGTGAGCCAACAGGCATGTACCTGATGCCACCTTCCAGTTCCATTTTATCATTCCAAAGTCACTTGGCATAGCATCCAATGAGTCTTTGGCACCACTGGATCAGGGCCTTGGTTTTCTGTTCTATTCCCATGTGAACGTAAACCATCAAATATTTTCACTTGAGGATCCCAAATACAGGAATCGGTACAATGTGAGAAGTTAATGAGAAGGAAGTTGGTAGGAATAGGAGGTTCTGAATGGACTAGGGCCATTATGTTTTATGTACATCCAAAGGGTTCTTTTAAATTCTTTGAGGGTTTAACTCAGCCACTAGAAACATGGAACATATCTCTACCTCATTCTCTGAAATGCTGGTGCTTATCTTACAGGCCTAATCAGTGAAGATTGTATTGAGCTGAGTTCCAATACCATGGTGGGGGTAGGAATCATAGGTCATGTCTACAGGAACATCATAGTGGGGAGTGCCAGCCTGAAAGGGAGTTGAATGCACATGCCCTGAACTTAGACTTGCAGAGTTATAATGTGGCATGAAGCTGTAGGATTTTTCCAACTCAGGGGAACCATCTTGCTTCAAGGAGAAGTTGCCACTGATGCTCAGGGGTGGTGTGAGTGGACCCTCATAAGGGGGGGTACTGCAATCAGGTGGATGGCTCCCAAAAGAAGAGTCTCCCAAACTCTTAAGTGGTTGAGGCTTGAGATGGAGAAGATGTGTTTCCATATGGCCATAAGGAGGGCTGGGGAGCCCTGGAGACTGGTAGTTGAAGCTGTGGACAGAGACAGTAGAGTCACAAATTGGAGATTTTTCCTCATGCTTCTCCAGGAGGGCAGACTGAGGTCCTAGTTGGAGGCATCCAGCCACCAGGTTGCTTGTAGGCTGAGAGAGCCCTTTACAGAGCATCTCTACAAATCCCTTCCCTTCAAGTGTCTGACCAGTCTCCAGGACTTCAGACAAGGCCCAGATGTAGTTCCTTGCCAGTCGAAGAGTCTCTATCTTGGAAAGTTTTTGGGTTTTAGAGTAACATGGCATGACCCTCCTAAGGTTATCCAAGGCATCATTCAGGCCATGCATCCGGGTCCGTTCTCTAGCATTGGCCTTGACTCTTCGAGCCCTGAACCTCTCCAGGCGAGCTTTGGTCATTTTCTTTTTCTTGGGACCTCTTCTTTTAGGTTTCTCTCCATCTTCTTCCTCTTCTTCCTCTTCTTCGATACTGTCATGCTCTTCAGTTAAGGTTCCAAGGATCCCATAAGAGCCTGATCTTCTCTCTTGCTCCTTCATCTCATTTTGAGAGCCTAGACCTTTGTCCATCCAGGATTGTGTGTTGACCAGCTCCACCATATCCTTGGATTTCATGTACATTTTTGCCATTTATAGATTCTGGAAAAAGGAAATATAAAAAGTTAAACCCCCAAATACCTGATAGAAATCTAAACTGAGATCGGCATGATGGCACATGCCTATGATCCTAGCCCTTGGGAGGTGGAAGTAGGAAGATCAGGAGTTCAAAGTCATATTTAACAGCATAGAAAGTTCAAGGCCAGCCTGAGTTACATGAGACCCTTTCAAAAGACCCATAAACTTTGTTTTTATTTCATGGTTATAGAACACATTGTGTTTGGATCTAAATATTTCATAATTTCTTTGCCCATTTGCCATTTTAAATTAAGCCAAGGCTCAAAGAATTGCCCTAGACATACATCTCTTTACAGCACACTGCAAGAAAAACTAGCATAAAAGAAAAAATTTGAATACTCACTGGGGTGCTGGAGTCTGACTTTCTATTCTCATATTATTTATCTTATGGGCATTTTACACAATATAACACAAGTAAAATTCCAATCACATATTCTTTCTTTTGTAAATTTATAACATAAAGGGAAGTAGGTGAACATATAAATTATTACCCTAATTAAAAAACACGGGACAGCTAAAGCAATCCTGTACAATAAAAGAACGTCCAGAGATATTACTATCCCTGATTTCAAACTGTACTACAGTGCTATAATAATAAAAACTACATGATGTTGACATAAAAACAGACAGGTTGATCAATGGAATTGAATCAAAGGTCTAAATGTAAATCCACACACCTATGGACACCTGATTTTTCATTAAAAAAAAACAATAGCCGGGCGGTGGTGGCGCACACCTTTAATCCCAGCACTCGGGAGGCAGAGCCAGGTGGATCTCTGTGAGTTCAAGGCCAGCCTGGGCTACCAAGTGAGTTCCAGGAAAAGGCGCAAAGCTACACAGAGAAACCCTGTCTCGAAAAACCAAAAAAAAAACCAAACAAACAAACAAAAAAAGCCAGAAACACACAATGGAAAAAAAAGAAAGTGCATGTTCAACAAATTGTGCTGCTCTAACAGGATGTCTGCTCGTAGAAGAATGCAAATAGATCCATATCTAACACCTTATACAAAACTCAAGTCCAAGTGGATCAAAGAACTCAACCTAAAACCAAATACACTGAACCTGATAGAAGAGAAAGTGGGAAAAAGTCTTGAATGCATAGGCACAGGAGAAGACTTCTTAAACAGAACACTGATAACACAGACATTAATATCAACAATTAACAAATGGGACTTCATGAAACTGAAAAGCTTCTGTAAGACAAAGGACACCATCAATAGGTCAAAACAGAAGCCTTCAGAGTGGAAAAAGATTTTCACCAATTCGATATCTGACAGAAGGCCAATATCCAAAATATATAAAGAACTCAAGAAACTAGACATCAGCAAGCTAAATAATCCCATTAAAAAATGAGGTACAGATATAAATAGAGAATTCTCAATAGAAGAACCTGAAATGGCTAAGACACACTTAAAGAAATGCAAATGCAAATCAAAATGATTTTGAGATTCCATCTTACATCTGTCAGATTGGTTAAGAGCAATAACACAAGTGACAGTTCATACTGGAGAGGATGTGAAGCAAGAAGAACATCCCTCCATTGTTGATGGAAGTGCAAACGTGTATAGCCACTATGGAAATTAATATGGCGGTTCCTCAGAATATTGGAAATTGATCTACCTCAAGACCCAGCTATACCATACCACTCTTTGGCATAAACCCAAAGGACACTCCATCCTATCACAAGGACACTTGCTCAACTGTGCTTATAATAGCTGTATTAATAATAACCAGAAATTGGAGACAACCTAAATGTTCATCAACTGAAGAATGGATAAAGAAAATGTGGTACATTTACACAATGGAGTATTACTCAGCTGTTAAAACACATGACATCATGAAATTTGCAGGCAAATAGATGGAACTAGAAAAAAATTATCTTGAGTGAGGTAACCCAGACCCAGAAAGACAAACATGATATGTACTCACTTATAAGCAGATATTAGCTATTAAGGATAATCACACTACAGTCCACAAATCCAGAGAGCCTAATTAACAGGAGGGCTCAAGGGGAGAGGGGGATACAGGGTTCTCTCTGGGAAGGGGAAATAGGATAGACTTCACTGGTGGATGGAAACAGGAGGGATCAGGCAGGATGTGGGGGAAGGATGAAGGGAGAAAGTACTTGGAGAGACTGAAATTGGGGGGCACTGGGGTGGCCTTGTGGAAACCTAATACAGTGGAAACTCCCTGGAATCTATGAGGGAGACCCTAGTAATGGGGCATTGTAGCTAGAGTTTTCCTGCCTCGCCCACAGTCAGGACAAATCTCTCTCACCTGCCAGTCCCACAGCTGCTCAGACCCAACCAAGTAAACACAGAGACTTATATTGGTTACAAACTGTATGGCCGTACCAGGCTTCTTGCTAACTGTTCTTACTGCTTAAATTAATCCATTTCTATAAATCTATACCTTGCCACGTGGCTCGTGGCTTATCATCATCTTCACATGCTGTTTGTCATCGTGGCGGCTGGCAGTGTCTCTCTGCCTCAGCCTTCCATTTCCCAGCTTTATTCTCCTCCTTGTCCCACCTATACTTCCTGCCTGGCCACTGGCCAATCAGTGATTTATTTATTGACCAATCAGCAACACACTTGACATACAGACCATCCCACAGCAGGGCATATGAACCCTGAACCGACCATCTTCTGTAACCAGGCAAGACTTGGTTACAGTGGTGGAACTTGGACATCAACTCCACCACAAAACCTCCGACCTACATTTTTTTTGCCTACAAGATGGGCTGGGTCAATGGTGGCACAGAACTTGTAGGAGTGGCCATTTAATGACTGGTCCAGCTTGAGGCCCATGCCACAGGAGGTAGTTCACACTGGACACTGCCTGAATGACTGGGAACCAAAGACTAGATAGCCCAGAGACCTAAGATAGAACCAAACACAACTAGAAGAAAAAAGTCAATGAAATGATTCCTGATAATATTCTGCTATATTCACAGATCAGTGCCTAACCAATCATCAGGCTTCATACAGCAAATGATGAGAACAGATGCAGAGACTCACAGCCAAACTTTAGGCAGAGCTTGTTAAATACCACAGAAGAGGGGGGAGAAGGATTATAGGCACCAGAGTATTCTAGGACACTAGGAGAACATGGCCTACAGGATCAACTAATTAGGGCTCATAGGGGCTCACAGAGACTGAAGCAACCATCACAGAGCCTGTATGGGTCTGAGCTAGGTTCTCTGCAAATATGTTATGGTTGTGTGTCATGGTGCTGTTGTGAGACTCCTAGCAGTGGGACTGGGAGGTATGCCTGCTCTTGGGACTTCCTACTGGATTGCCATGACCAGACTTGATATAAGTGTTTGTGCCTAGTCTTATTGTAACTTGTTATGCCATTTCAGGTTGATATCCTTGGGAGGCCTGTTCTTTTCTGAAGGGAAATGGAGGAGGAGTAGATGTAGGGAAGAGGGGAAGTGAGGGGAGGCACTGGGAGGAGTGGAAGGAGGGGAAATTGCAGCTTGAGATGTAATGAAAAGTAAAACATAATAAACCAATAATAAAGAAAAAGAAAAATGCTGAAAGTTGAAAATGGTTTTTAAATAAATATGTAGTATGAAAATAAATTTGCTTCACCCCAATAAAATATATGTTGAACAGTTAAGCAAGTGAGCTGTTCTGAGTTTCCACCATAAAACAGATGAAAAGCTATAGCAAGATCATCAAGATTACCTTCCTGTGTTCTCTTGAGATGTTTCACAAGCATCTAATTTGTACAATCCTGTGATCCCCACTGACTCTGCCAACAGGTGACTTCAAGCACCTCCTATGAAACAACAACACCATAGCTGGCCTGCTTCACGTCCAGAAGAGCATTGCGTTTCTTCATAAGCACCTGTGTTCTCTCAGGGGTAAGGAATGTTAGATATTCTAGTGACACAGTGTCTTGAAAGGGTCATGAAGAAAAGCTGCCACTTGTCATCTATCAAATATGCCCACGTACTGACAACTCTTTCCTTTGCACATGCATCTTACACCATTAGAAAAGACTCCAGCAACAGATAGAAGCAAAAGTCAGTGATCTACCAAACCTATTCAAGATTGTTTTAATGAAACAGTCAGAAAACGCTTTATTAAAGATGAAAAACTGGAACAAATATAAAACAAAAGAGAATATAGTGACAGAGAACATACCATGGGGCTATTTTTGGTAAACAAAGTAAAAGCACTTCAGTTCACTTGCGTAACAGATACTGTTTGATATGGTTTATATGCAAATTTGATTTAGTAAACATCTTGTATTCAATATTACAAGAGTTTGAATTGTTTTCAGATCATTTGGGTCATTTCTAGGTATAGTTTATCAGATAAAAGAATCTGATAAACAATCCCTCTAGGACATCCCAGTTTACTAGTTAGTCCTTGAAACATTAAACTCTCCATCACCTTTCATTATGAGAAAGGGAAAAACATGATAACATGCCTTTTGATCCTTGAAGCTGGAGTCTCCAGTCAATGAATTCAGGGATTAGTACATGGAGTTTTCAAAAATATAAATATATGATTTGAATTGTTTCTGGTAATTGGAGCTTGTTTTCATTGTAACCTCATTTACCTCCTATAAATAATTAATGCTACTGCATTGCAAAAACAGCCTAGGTTTCATATTAATCAGCAAGGAAATCATGTCAGCTTGACTTACTCACTTAATAAGGCTTCCTGGGTAAGCAGCTTTATTGAAAACACACATTGGAACCTATTGGTCAACTGGCTGCCCAGGCCAAGTCAGAAAATCCCACTTTTAATATGGATGATGGAGCTTGTGTGCTGAGCTGCACTTCTAACTCAGGCAAATATCCAGAGGGACGGGGAAGGACCTAATTAACTTTCCGTTAAAGTAACGCAGATCTTCCAAAGGCAGGTGCATGCTGAGACCAAAAAGGGCAGGGTGGGTTTGGGAAACCTAATGCTCTCTGTGTAATTACAATAGCATTTGTGTAGCATTCTAAAGTTTGCAGCACGTTTGCACTCATTAACCTATATATTCCATAGAGCACGCTGTTGAGGGTGATGAGTAAAGCCCTATTCACTTTATAGTCAGCAGTATTATGGGGCCAGTCTTTTAAATGATGGACATGTAAAGACATAGTGTAACAGGACATAAAAAACATTTCTGATCTCAAATACTAGACTTTACAGTCCTTTTCCTCATTTTTTTTCCATCATAGCTAAAGAAAAAAGCCATTTTTACTTTGGCAAATGTAGATCAGTAAAGCTAAGTCAACAGGCATGACCGTTATCCAATGAAGGCTGGCTTAGATGTTCTCTGAGGCAGCTTTTAACTCTCACATTCCTGGATTCATTCCTCTCCCAAAGGCTTTCTTTGCTGCTTTTGACTATTCATTCTACCCCTCTTCTCTTCTGTACTCTTTTCCCTTTTTTCCCATCTTCATTAGCATCATTGCACCATGTCATGTGCATGGAGAAGAGAGCCACCTGACCCACTGGGATCTGAGTACTGCTCTCACTTCTATATTGGGCTTTCCTCACTATCATCTCCCTGTGTCTCCTAATGCTTGCTTGATCTTGCTAGATGTGTCAGTAAGCACCCTACGAGGAATTAGAATTGAAAAATGAAATTGACCAAGCTTTGTCTTTAACTTATTTGGTGATTTTAGGAAGCTGTTTATAATCATGCTGTTGGTAGGTATAAAGGAAAATAACTCACTGGATTTGGCCAAACAATGTGAAACAAAACAAATCAGTGAAATTTCACCCTTCTTCTTTTCCCAACTATGAGAAGAATAGGGGTAGTTCTGGTTCAATTTCCTCTGTTCCCGTAGCTCTAAGATACTGGTCCCGTAGCTCTAAGATAATTCTGTGGGTATATAAATGTGGCTTCAAGGATGACTAGAAAAGTATGAATGGAACTCTAGCCCAATATTTTCAATTCCTGATTTCTAATCCCAGTTTTATTTACTACATTCTTCTTGATAATATAAAGATAAGATATATTTTATATTCTTCTCATAAGACAAAAATCATGGCAAAGGATGTTGTAAAACAATATCCATGTATTTATTTTTGAAAATTTAAAAGTCTAACCCATTCTTTCATTTGTTTTCTTCATGCAAAATTAAATTTTTCCCACAGATGAATAAATAAAATACACTGTATCTGTTAGTGTCTCTTATTATCTGAATGCACCTCACCTGATTGGTACAAAAGTAAGTCTGATAGCTACCCAATAGTCTGCCCTTCTCAGTTGGATTAAACAGCACACACTCTGGAGTCAGATTGACTGGGCCTAAATTTCAATTTTACTACTTAATAGATCTGTGACTTAGACTTTTATCTGCCTTAATGTTCTCCTCCTTAAGTGGGAATAATAATATACCTAACTCACAGATTATTCTCAGCATAAAATGAGTTGATGTATTTAAACAATTTGTATTAGTTCCAGGTCTCACAAATTCAACAGAAGTGTGAGATATGACTACTCCTAAACATCATGAGTCACAGTGACAATAGTCAGGACATATAATTATAATCTATATTTAATGTTAATTTCATGATCATAAAAGTCAGTAGTCTTTCAGTTTTTGTTTAAAAGTGTTTGAAAAATTAGTACTTTCCCTGTGTGCTAATGAGGCTAACTATCAAAGGTCCTATGGAACTGAAAGGGATGAATGAATATACCAAACTCTATCAAATGCATCTACAGTCAGACATGAAATTATCTTCCAAATTTTCATTCTGTTTGTATTTGTGGAGATGAGAGAAAGAAGGTGAAAGAGAAAAGATTCTCTCTCATGAAGACATTTGACTTGACATTCATTCTTAGTTACATGTTCATAAGGTTTCTGGTGGAAAGCACACACACTCATCTATTCGACCTTTTTATCTTTGGTTTACAATATGAGGAATGCAACTTCTCCACAAGCTCCAGGGAAAAGGTGAAGTATCTCACAAACAGAAGTAAAAGCCAGAACTCTCCAAAGATGAAATGTACTTTCTATTTTTCTACCTTTAATACTCTCAAAGCATCACAAGATTGACAAAGACAAATGACTCAGTTTCAAATCTGAGTGTTAAAAATGTGTGATGCACTCCTGAATTTTTTAGGAATAAAACTTAAGTGGACTCTCTTCAGAGCAAGGAACTAAGCCCAATGTGGCCTTTATCCTGTTAACATGCCATCTCAGAGGTATTCTGAAAGAAACATGAAAGTAAGATGTTTTCTTGTCACTGAAGTATGTGATGAACATAGCAAAATTGTCTTAATACTTTGTAGATATTGTGTGGATATGAAAGGATATGGTACTACCTTATAGAACATAGGGATAAATCATGTCAAGTTTCTCTAAATTTCTAGAAGAGAAGTTAGTTTTCAAAATATACAGGAAATAAATGCCAATGTGGATATTGGTTTTTGAATTCAGAATTATATCCTTCAACATGTACAAATATATGCTGATCTTATAAAGTCCATTTTAGTTCTTGGTACTGGTATTTGGATTACCCCCATAAACTTGCATAGTGTTACAGGATCTTCCTATTTATTTCCTTCAATAAAACCTCAATTTTGAGTTATTTTCTCTATTTAAAAATTTTACTCTCTTTTGTTCACTTTGAACCTCTTTTGAAAAAAAAAAAGTATTTGTCACAGACAATTTTAACTGCATACTGTTTTGGCTAATGAGACCACAAGTATTGTGCACTTCTACTATGTGGAGCTGTCATGTAATTTTTCCTATACCTTTACTAATTTTCATTTACTTTGGAGAAGTTTCAATTAAAGGGTGAGTGTAAAGTATTTACGTGTGTGTCTGTGGCAGGCTGGCCAGTGTCTTTTCCTTTAAAAAACCAATGGTACTTGATTACCTCTTGATTCTGTGACTCTAAATACAACAGGGAGCAACTATGCATGCTAATTTCTAGAGAATCTAAGGACCACATAAACCAAATGTTTTGCTCATAGCTACAGAGCCTGCAACAAAGAAACAAACAAAACAAAACACAAACCGAGGTGTTCACAAATGGTACTGCATGGAAACAATGAGTAGGCTGGAGGGTACTTCATAGCCAAGCTATCTACAACTACAATTACCCATTGACTAGTAACTATGCATGTGCTCACTCTCTCTTACACACACACACACACACACACACACACACACACACACACACCACAAAAAGAAGGGGAACAAGGCCATACTGTACTTCATTCAGTCCCACAGCCTCAGACCATAATAGTGAGCTTCCTTAGCAGTATTTAAACAATTACCCAATTTCCCCTCCATGTTCTTCACTATGTTAGAAACTAAGGTGGAGTCATTTGCATTTGTTAGTATTTCGTGAATATATTTTTGGTGGGAAAGTAATGAGTATATGGCAGAAGAGGAAAGAGACACTTGGACAATCATTTTCTTCTAATTTATAGTCTCAAATAGCTGGGGGAAAATACATTTCCCACTCCATTCAAACCATTCAAGAACTTTTGGCAAAGCAAATGGGGACAGTGATGAGAACCTTTGCCTATGCTCTCTCAAGATCTCCCTCTACTTAATTGATTTCCATTCCTCTTCCTCTCCCTGCACTCTTTGCCTAGACCTGGAGGTTTGTCAGCAGAGCACTGAATTGGGCCAGTTCTTCAAACTGCTTGCTAAACCACTTTAGGAAAACAGCTAAACTTTTGCAGCTTTTTAAAAGCATTAGCAAGATGGAAGTTTGGGCTTCATGGTGACAGAGGAGTCGTCAGCAACCTCTTCTCTTCCGAATCTGTGGGAGCTTCACACAGAAACTTTAGTACCCGCACCCCACCCATGGCTCACCTTAGGCAGTGGAGTTCCAAGATTAAACTCTAACCTGTATTCTGGAGGACAGTCAAAGCAGCCAAGTCCACCCTAACCAGGCAGATCGTGGGAAGCAGGGGATGCTTTCAGCCATCCATGTAAGCCGGTAGCTACCTCCTAGTGCCTGCTCTTAGTCTGGATACCCTGGCTGTTACTTATTCTATCCACTCCTTCCTGAAGTTCTGATGCACCACCAGGACGCCCTCGGGCTGGTGCCTCCACTAAAGCTGTTTTCCCAAGTGTCTTCAGTACCTCCTTTCCCGGATAAGCTCCCTTGAGTAGCTCTTTCAGGACCACAGTCTCTGGGCAGCTCCTGTGATCTGACTGGAGCTTCTGACTTGCCGCAGTTTTGATGGCTCTGGCAGCTGACCAGGGCGGGGTGATGTTGCCCACAGGCTAGCCCCTCCCCTCCCTAGCCTAAAGACCCACCTCCTTCCCAAGGCTCCTCTGATGAGGTCCAGCTTTGCCACTGCGTGTTTGTTTTTTGTTTAAATCAGGAAGGGGCTGGAGGAGGAGAACTGCTGAAGTTAAGGGGTGAAAACCAAGAGAACTGAAAAAGCTTGTGGTTAGAAAGGTACAAGGCTCTGTTCAGCCGAGCAGGCTGAACAGAATGGGGTCAGAAAACTGGAGACAGACTTGGAGAGAAAGCTAGAAGGGTGGGTGAGGCTGCTGGCCCAAACCTAAAAGAAATCAAAACGTGAGAAAACTGCACAGCCAGGACACAATGCTAGTGAGCGTACTGTCTTGCATGGGAGATTGTTGGTTTATTTGCTGTTTTCTCAGAGAATTTGTTTTTTGCTTTTTGGATGAATTATTTTGCTTTTTGTTTGTTTTTGTGGTGGTGGTATTAGCATTTGAATCTGGTGTCTTGTAGATGTTAAGCAAGCACTTTACCACTAAGCTACATCCCCTGCTTTTTTTTCTCAGAGTTTTAAGTGTAAAGGAGGAAGTCTCTGTCTCCCTTTTCACCATAACAAACATATTTCTGTTATAACCATATTTGATGTCATGTGACATTTATGAAAACAAAAGCAAATGTGCAAACTCTTGGAGTTCTGATTCCGAAAGATAGTTTTATTACCCGTGTAATTAAAGACTATCTTGTTTGAAATAGTTAATATTTAGAACTCTGACATAGGTATTTTGTGACTCTTGGCCTCCATAGAAAACTAGAGAATAGAACCACCACCACCACCACCACCACCACCACCACCACCACCACCACCTGCCCAGTTTTTATAGGCAACCAATAATTTTCAGCAAATCTTTAAGGTCTCACTAATCTTTTTGTTTCCTTATCCAGGAACTATCTACTCAGCAAAATAAAGTTTGTTTTAGGAGGAATTAAGCAATGCATGGTAGATATGGTAAATTTCTGGAAAACATCAGAATTTATTCTTCAGTCAGAGGATGGTTATGTATGAGACAGTTTGCCTCTAGATAGAGCAGCTTAATAATTTCTAGATGAATGCTTATTAGATGGGTTGATCCCCTGATTTGTGTCTTTAAAGCCACATCCCTGATATTAAAATGTTGTTGTTGGATGTAGCACCCTGCCTGTGAGATTTACTGTGGGAGGGGAGGAATGGAATATTAGCAGAAAGTTGAACATATTTAGACAAAGATGAGGGTGGAGATGGGACATTGTTCCCAGACCCCTTGTTTCTTCTGACAGATGTAAGGAATTGAACATAAGAGGATTAGCTCACAAAATGCATTCAATTGTGTGTGTGCACGTGTGGTGTGTGTGTGTGTGCATGTGCATACTCCTCTAGTGGCAGAGGAAGCTTTGGACACTGAATTTTCTTTAAGAGCTGCTTTTTTTTTTTTTTTAAAGAAAAGTAGGTGGAATTCATTTCATTGGGGTTACTCTCAAAACTCCTTGACAGTTGTGGTTGGCTATTGAACTCTGAAAGGGCAGGAAGGGGCAGGAAGGGTGTGCAATCAGCAAAGGGAAGGGGGTGGTGACTGCCTTAGGAAAAGAAAATGAAGGACATTTGCATTCATTCTCCTCCCCCACATGTTTCCTAGGCCAGAGGGCCAGTCCACAGCCCTTCTCTCTTTCTCTATTGCTTTTTTGTAAAGCTCTGAGCTAACCTGTTAGAACCATCTGCTGAGTAGGGAAAAGGAGACCAGACCAGCACTCAGTTGCTGGCCCACAGGCCTGACACTAGAAGCCACTGAAGCAGAGAAAAGGGAAGCAACAGGCAGATTTATGGGCAACAATCTGTTACACCCCACCCCCAGGCCCCTCTGCCAGGAGACAGACTGATAATCCATCAACCCCACTAATGAATTAATTAGTATTCCCAGTAATCCTGACCCCCAAAGGAGACCTGCCTGTAGGCCTGTAAGTAGAGTAGAAACTGCCTTCTGCAACCAGACACTGAAGAAGTGGGACCAATGTCTGACATTGGCCCTAGGGCACTGGGCTGTAAGCCACAGACACTGTTGGTAACTGTCCCCAGATGTCCCTTCTTCTCATCTTCCCTCGGGAGACCACTTGCCTTTGCTGAATTAAACCACTACTTCCAAACAAATGGGGTCTAGAGGCATAAATCAGGAACTATAGAAAGTGGGAAACAGCTTCAGGAAAGAAATTACTGGGCTGCTTATATTCACAGTAAAACTTGAGCAGATCATAAGCCTGCTCCACAAGAATTACCTGGGATGTGGGAAAGCAATAAGGCAGGGCATGAGTTGAGGAGAAAGCAAAGGAGACAGACTCTGATCTAAGGAAGCTCAGTGTTCAAGTAGCAAAGTGATAAGAGTCAAAATTAATTGTGAAATGGCTTTAAACTAAGTGATTTTTGACTTGAGATATTCCTGAACGTGGACTGAAGCAAAATATAAAGACACTGAATGAAAAAAGAAATAAAAAGGAAAGGAAACATGACTGCTCCTAGGTATGGTGGAGGAGGAAGTTCATTGTAGATAAAAGGGAGAGCATATCCAGGAGTAGAGACATCTGGGAGAATCCAGAGACCTGACCCTGAGCCATGTGAGGTGAAGAAGGGAGGGATAAGAGAGGGGGACCAGGTACAGCAGCCAGGAAGCCCAAAGAGTAGACAAAAAGGGGCAGATAACCAAAATGGTTGGATTATATATGGAAGGGCAGCTTGGGGGAGGGCAGCCCAGCCCTTGGGCTGGAGAAGTTTAAGGTAGGGCTTAGGGTATGACAGCCAGGAAGGTCCTGTAACAGATAGGGACTAAAGAATTGTAGGGAGACCCTGGTGGCCAGGTCTGCTTTGATATGTTGAATAGGCATCTCAGTCATTTGTCACAGGTTTGAAATCTAACGGACACCAGCTGAGTTCTAAGAGTCTGTGGAGAATGACATCAGAGATTCATCACCACTCTTTACAACCACAAAACCCTTCATTCTTCTCACAAACGGAATGCAATGAAGTGAGATAATAAAAGTTTTGGAGTAGGTAAACTTGTGTACTAGGACCTTAATCTAAGACCAGACCCCATTTGTTTGGCAAAATTAGTTATTAAAAATTGGCAATTTTAATTCAATAAAGCATGTGAGCTCTCCAGGATCTTGGTGAGGAGTGGTCTAATTACCCAGGCATAGTGTTCCCCATAGTCAAAGATCAGGATGGGTCTGGATCTCTGATCTCTAATGTCTCATGTTCTTTCTACCTCTAACATTCAATAATGGCAACATGGTTAAATGTCACAGTCATCTTTTGAACCTAAATAATTCAAAGGCCTTCAGGTGTGAACAAGGTACCAACACTGGTTAGTGACCAGGTCATGAGCATCAGTGTGGGTGTTCTCCACCTGTATAACTGGTAATTTGCTTCAATTTTCCTCCATTCCATTCATTCAGAGTCCGTGCATGTGAGCATTTGCAGTGTGCATAATTCCAGGTACCTAGCATTATCCACATTTGCTTCAATCTGCTTGACAACTCTCTTTTAAAAACCTCTGCTTTAAGCCTTGTTGGCAATTGCTGTTCCCAAAAGTCCTCTAGGATTCACTGAATCTTATCGCTACTATTTACTAATGATGGGATGTCAGACAGCTTATTTGCTTCTATACTCCTAAGTCCTACCATGTGTAATTGGAGGTAATAAGGCTTGGCTAATGAATTTGCTCTGAAGAGTAAAAACAAATAACAGATGGTGAGTTTGCTAAGTTCTTAGTATAATGTCTGACACTTAGCAAGAGACCAGTAAATGCTACTTACTGGTATTTTATCTTAAACACTAGATTCTGATCTTTTATTCCCTAGAGACCAAAGAAGAGCTAATATTAGGATCTCCTTTTACAAGATCTGTTTCTGTATTTGTGTTATAACAATAATCACTACATTAACTTATCTAGTAACTATGTTCTATGCAGACTTGCCTAAAGGTCAAACTGATGGAGGCATTTTCAAAGTTGAGCTTCCATCTTCCCAGATGACTTTAGCTTGTGTCAAGTTGACAAAAAGCTAACTAGACAGCACTCTTAATTTTTAAACTGTACAAATGTATATTAGATTATATATAATTTTTATGCACATCAACAACTTGTATAATACATCTTTATATGAGGATATCTCTGTTACAGCAAAGATTTTAGACAAGTAGTCACCAAAAATGATTGTTTTCCATTTGCATACATATAGACTAGTCATTTGTAAATTGCAAAAGTAAAATTGGTTTTGGAACATAAAATGTCCTGGCTTTAAAACGTCATTTTCTATTGTATTAGTTACTTTTCTCATTGTTGTAAAAACATCCCTGACAGAAGCAACTACAGGAAAGAAGGGTTTGTTTTGGCTCACAGTTTGAGGGTACAGTCCATCATCATGTGGACACCATGTGGCAAGAGTCTGAGGTATCTGTTCACATTGCATCTACCATTAGAAGCCAGAAGGAGATGAATGCTTGTATTCGAGTCTCTTTCTTTTTTATTATTTCCCTCTTTTCTGCAGTTCAGGGCTTGTATCATGAAATGGTGTTACCTACATCCAAGGTGGACCTTCCTTGCTCTGTTAAACTGTTTGACTAACATGCTCATTCACATACCTAGAGGCTTGTTTCTGTGGTGATCTTAAACTGTATCAAGTTGATAATCCAGGTGAACAATAGAATCTACTCATTAGTTCCCACCAACTCCACCCTGCTCTTCTCAGTCCCAGGAATATCTGCCAAGTCTTTTTTTTTTTTTCATTTATCAGACAAAATGTATTTATAGTCCATAAATATGTATTTATATTCCATAAATATGAACCATACATATGACTGTCTTTCTTGTTAAGATTAACTTTTACTCCCACAGAGCTGTAAAATAACACAATTGA